TTTCAGAAAAGTAGATAACGGTAGCCAAGCACCATCTAGTTCATCTGGTCTTGGAATTGTGGTGACTGATGCTCACTTGTTCCATTGGTCCAATGGACTAGTTTATTCCAAACATCTTCAAATTTTTATAACTTTTCTTTCTTCTGCATATGGAAAGACAATTAGTTGTACCTTAGATGGCCACTTATGAGCTTTTAAGATCCCAGTCACTACTCAAAAAAGTAGGATGTAGAACATTTTCTTTGTGGACTGTTATGACAGTTGATCATGGTGTCCCTGAGACTGCGGTCCTGAGCCCCCAGGTTCACCAACTCATTGCATTAAGATGCTTGATAATAAATTTTTATCATTTTGAGCCCTGTGTGGTCCCCCACATTCATAGGTGTGTTTACAGCAAGGGATATAACCATGAACAAATATGTTCTTTCAAAAACTTAGATATTTTTAAATCAATACCCTTTAATTCTTACATATTTCCGTGTCTTCACCTATCTCCATCATTGCTCTGCCAACCTCCCCTTTATGTGTGTAATTCCAGCCTTGACCCTGAGTTAACTCTCTAATGAGTGAATTACTTTCCTTTCTAGCCCACCTCTGGTAACAATCATAGAAAGTTTGTTCTTTGGCAGTCCATGGTATTTTAATATTTTCCTCCAACACCATAACTCAAATGCATCAATTCTTTTACTGTCTTCTTTATTTATTGTCCAACTTTCACATGCATATGTGGCTATTGAAAATACCATAGCATGGGTCAGGCACACCTTAGTAAGTGGCTCTAGTGCTGCATCAGTTTGTTGAAATATATCAATTTGTATTCCATGAATTCCTGGAGCTTTGTTCTTTGTCAATGCCTTCAGTGCACATTGGACAGGTTCCCTCTGTATTATGTTTTACCTTTTGACATAATTGAACATTGCCCATTGTTTTTGGTACAGTGACTCTATGTATTTCTACCATTTTCTTCTTTTTTCTCTTTCTTTTTTGTTTTTGTTTTTTAAATGTTTTATTGTGAATTATGTGATAGGTTACATGAGAGAACATTTGCTTTACATTCCTCTTATCATATATTGTTTCATTGCCATGGTTACAATCCCTTCCAGGCATCATAAACCAACCAAAGGGTATACCCTGCACCCCCCCCCCCAGTTGTCAGCACACAGCCCCTCTCCCTCTCTGGGTCTAAAGTCCCCAGCCGCTCCATCTCTCCAAGTCATCATCTCTGCCTCCATCTCTGGCGTCACTGCTTCTCAGGGTGGGGTCCCACTCTCTGTTCTTGTCCCTTGATGGTCCCAGGAACCTCTGCTCCTAGACTATAAAGTCAATCACTTCCCTCCTTTTGCTACAAAACGTCTACCTTTACATTTCCAACCCTCAACCCTCACAATCAATCCTGATAACAATTATTCACCATTGTATCACAAGAGATCCATCCACATCTTCTTTCATCAACCCCGCCTAGACAGATCGGATACTACTCAGTGGATATCTACCTTCCTCCATGCCCTCTGGATCTAGGTTCCCTCTTGAAAGCTTGTAAGCCAGTCACTTCTTGCCTTTGTAGGCCCCACCCCCCCATTTTGGGTAGCCACTAGTGCTTAAAATCTGAGGGAAAATTTCACAAGTGAAGACAATCAATCAAAATAAAAAATAAAAAAAAACTGGGCAGGCAAATGGATAGGGAGATGTTAAACATGTCCATATGTCCAGAGATAGTGTAGTGTAAAAGAAGGGTGAAATCAAGACAAGGCTGTAAAGATGAGATGGGGCCAGAACTTGGAGGGTGCTGAATCTTAAAAACAACAGTAAATAACACATATAATATACTAGGAATTGTTCTGTGCTCTTTACCAATATTAATTTCTTTAATCTGTAAAACAACTCTTAAGTGTGGGTAATATTATTATGGCAATATTACTGATGAGGAAACTAAGGGATACAGAGAGGTTAGTTGCAATGCTTAAAGCCACAAAGCAAGTCTGCCTGGCTCCAGCGTTCCACACTCTTAGCCATCTCATTTTCTTCTCTCGCCAACTCACAATGGAAATTCATTAAATCTAATGAGTGGCAGTAACAACAATAGATAGAAGTTTTGAAAGATGACTAAGATGACTCTATATGTTAATGCCGTTGTTAAATGCCACTAAGTCCATTCTGATTCATAGAGACCCCTGTATAGCATTTCTAAAGAGCAGCTGGTGGGTTTGAACCACTAATCATGTGGCTAGCAGTCCAGTGCTTATCCTAAAGCATCACACCAGCACTCCTATATGTAAATATCCGTGGTCAAAATAAAATAAGTGAGCGATATATTCTTCTTGATTCCTCCACCACAGTCACTCATGTTGTTTTTGTTGTTGTTAAGTACCTTGGAGTCAGTTCCGACTCATAGTGACCCTGCACGGCGTTTCCAAGGCTGTAAATCTTTACGGGAGCAGAAAGCCTCATCTTTCTCCCGCAGAACCGCTGGTAGTTTCGAACTGCCGATCTTGAGGTTAGCAGCCCGATTCGTAACAACTATGCTACCAGAACTCTTTTATCCTTCTCTAAATCATGCAATTTTTAGTAAAAGCTGTAATATGAAGTCCTGGGGTGGCGCTGTGGGTTAATGCGCCAGACTGCAAAGCCGTTTGAACTGCAAGGTCGGCAGTTTAAGCTCACCAGCTGCTCCTCAGAAACCCTATACAGGGTGGCTATGGGTTGGAACCGACTCGACGGCACTTCACAACAACAACAACAACATAATATGGTGAGTTTACAGTCAGAAGCTATTGAACAGTGGGAATGCTCAGTTTCATCAACTAAGAGATCTCAGTGCTATGGCAGTACTTTGTGAAGGCAAAGTGCTGATGAGTCAGACAGCCTATCATTTAATCAGCAAATGTTGAAAGTTTAAAAACACAGAGGGAAAAGGGAAACTAAAGTGCCGTGTCAATGGTAGAATAAAATCAAATTTATTTAAAGCTTGCAATAATTAGGTGTTTTGTAGCTGGTAATAATTTCAGAAGAAAAGCAGGAGATGCCTCATTACTTGCCTTGGAAACGATGCTCTTAAGATTTGGACAAAGCTTAGACGATAAGGAAACAAATCCGATACAATCCCCAGAGGAGGATTCGGATAACACATCTTTCTACTTTTAACTTCGATGTCCTAATAAAAAGGCCTCTTTGATGCTGCCATCTCTTCAATCTAAACTCTTTAACGGAAGCCCTGTCCCTTTTGTCTCATTCCTGATAATTTATTAATAAGCCTCCCCATAAAAAATGTTCCTTAATAAAACACCCAGGCTTTGTGGACTGTTTAATGTAGTTAATTTAAGTGGGCAACTGAGATTCATGTAGATGGCCATATTAGATTAGTAGAGAGATTAGCATCACTCTAGCCTTCTGCTGAAGAATGCGGCTGCAAAGGCTGCTCCTTACAAAACTGGATTCAGACAAGAGTTTTCAAACACCTGTCCTGAATTTACATGCAATGAGATGAACAAGAGGTTTCAAGAAAAACAAAATAAAAATAGCTTTAGATGGAATCTCAAAAGATTTATGACCTCTTTCTCTCTGTCTCCATTCTTCACATGCCCACATGCACTGACTCCTTTTGGTGGAGATCAAGAATGAGTATGGCTTATGAATTGTTGTTGTTGTTGTTAAGTGCCGTCGAGTCGGTTTCGACCCATAGCGACCCTGAATAGGGTTTCCGAGGCTGTAAATCTTTACGGGAGCAGATCGCCTCATCTTTCTCCCGCGGAGCAGCTGGTAGTTTCGAACTGCTGACCTTCCGGTTCGCAGCCATCAGACATTAAAAAAATTAATTAAAAAGAAAAACAGAAAAGAAAAGAAAATGTATTCCATTTCCTCCATCTGGGGAAAAAATACAAACCAATAGGCCAACACTCTGACACATCCACACACACATTAAAGCTCACTTAATTAGTAGAGCTAGCGCAATAAGATGTTGTTTTATAACGTACTCAAGACTAACAAAATTGGCATTCATTTTCAATTCTTACTTTTTTTTATTTAAAAAAATAGGGATAAAATTCTATTGACAGCATATTTTTTCAAAATGTTTGGACTCATGGAAATTATGTGAGTATTTTTCATAAGTCATATTCATATTTGACAAGCCCATGTGGTGTTCAGAAACACTGGCCTCCTATTTTCTATAGCATTGGTAGGACAAGACCCCAAAGCCAAGACCCCAAAGCATTCCCACTGTTCAATAACTTCTGACTGTAAACTCACCATATTATGTTGTTGTTGTTATGAAGTGCTGTCGAGTCGGTTCCGACCCATGGCGACCCTGTATAGGGTTTCCGAGGAGCAGCTGGTAAGCTTAAACTGCCGACCTTGCAGTTCAAATGGCTTTTCAGTCTGGTGCATTAACCCACTGCGCCACACCAGGAACCCACCCACCATATTATAGCTTTTCTCTGTTTGGCACCAATTGTAATGGTAATTTAACAGAAAAAAACCAAGATTATCTGGTATAATTCACATAGTAGGCAAGGAATATATTTTGTCAAAAATATGCCTAAATAGCAAAGCAGAGTTTAACAAAGGCTACTCATTTCTTGACGGTCCTATATTCAATCTAATTTTCAGAATTGGTATTTGGCAACTATACCCTGTTTTTCCCAAAATTAATAATGTTGCCAAACTGGCTGCTTTGCAACAGCAAAGGAAAGATTATGTGCCTATTTTCTATTTTCCCTTTTCCTCTACAACAAACTCAAAGGTTAAACCAATCATCTTTTACAGAGGGAAAAAAATACAAATGTTACCTTGACTAACTAGTAAGAACTGAGTGAATCAACTGGGTTTGCATATTTCTGTGCAAGGAAATTCTGATGTCATTTCCTTGAGAAGACGTGACAAAGAATAAAGGAGGGATTACAAACTCAACTGTGTCAGAACCTGACAGTCAGGGGTAGAGTGAGGCTAAGATTCACCCACAATTGGTGTCTCTTGCTGGAATCATCCCCATTGCCCAAACATACCTTGTCTCATCTTGGGGTCTTTCTTTTCACTCTCTACTTGTGATCCTTGGCATTTGGCTGAGACGTCAATACGATTCTTTTGATTGTTAATGTGGGATTCAGAAATCGCTTCAGTTTTTGTTTCTGTATTAATGAACAAAATAAGCCAAGTTTTTGTTTGTCTGTTTGCTTGTGAAAAAAGAACATTTTTTTAGTAATGGGGCCTAAATGTGAAAATGCTTGCTTCCCTTTTACCTCCCCACAAATGATTATGATATACATGAAATAAGAAAATGCCCGTGATGTAATTACACCTCAAGAAATAATAAAATCCCACATACCTACCACTAACTTTAAAATGTAGCAGCCACTACATGTGGCTAGTGAACAATTGAAATGTGGTCAGATCAAATTGTTGTTGTTCTTGTTAAGTGCTGTTGAGTCAGTTCTGACCCTTAGCAACCCTGTATAGGGTTTCTGAGGAGTGGTTGGTGAGTTTGAACTGCTGACCTTGAGGTTCAAACAGACCTTGAGGTCAAAAGGTTTTATGTAAAGTATACATCTGATTTCCAAGATTTAGTAATAAATAATGTAAAATACTGAATTAATGTTAATATACTGATTATGTGTTCAAATGATACATTGAGTTATATTGAATTAAATGGCTAATAAAAAATTACATGTGGGGCTCAAGTTTGTGGCTCACATTATATTTCTATTGGACAGAATTAGCATAGAAAACTACTAATTTTTTTTTACTTTTCATTTGATAATATTTATAGATGCACAGGAAGTTCTAAAGTCATGAACAAGGAGTTCTCATGCACCTCTACCCAGTTGCCCATTGGTAATGTGCACAACTATAGTATAGTATCAAAACTAGATTCCTATTACTTGAAGATTCAATATTAACAAAAGTGATGCTTTAAATTATATAATAAAATGTGTCAACACTTGGAAGATATACATAATTCAGTGAAATAATATTTTCCAGATGACCTAATAATAATGTTTCTAAATCATGCATGGGTAAAAGAATCTTTCAAAGTATAAGATAGACCAATGCATTTTCATATAATAGAATATGGTAAGTACACTGAAATGGTTTCAGTCACACTGCAAGTAACCCTTAAGAAACTGCTTCTTGCCAAATATGGATGCAATATCAAAGAAGTATGTCCACAATAGTGCAAAAGCTATTAATATATGCTTCCTTTTTTTCCCCTTTATATCTGTATGAGACTGAATTTTTTCTTCATATACAAAATAAAAAACCAAGACTGTTAGCATCGAGTTGATTCTAACTGTTAGATATACTATAGGACAAAGCAGAACAATCCCATTGGGTTTGCAAAGTTACAAGAATTCATTATGGACTTTTCCTGTGGGGTGACTGATGAGTCTGAAGTTTCAGTTAGCCACTGAGCATTGACCACTGTGCAGCTGGGGTTTATTTTGCTTCATGAATTTCAACCAATATTTCAACAGATTGAAGGAAGAAGCTGCTAAGAGAATCCAGCTGACTTCTGTTAAGGGAGACATTAAAGACCTTTATAAATAAGTTTGTACAAAAGCTATACTTTTCATTATTTTTTTGTTTAGAAAATGCAGGTTTTCAAAACAAAATATATTGATAATGTTACTATGTAATGAATGTGTGACTTATTTTAAAGTAAATTAATTAGTAAATATTTTTAAATTTCTATTTTAATGTCTTATTCTGAAACAATGATTGATTGACTCACAGATGCTCTTTGGGATTCTAATGAATTATAAAGAGTGTGAAGAGGGGTTGACAAATGTTTGAAAACTATTGACACAGAAAATATAGGTAAGTAGGAGAATCATCCCCTATAAGGCAGGGCAGAAAGGAAATTGCTACTTAGCTATGACAGCTTTCCTATCTGTCTCTATACCTTGATTGTTGTTAAGTGTCATCTAGTTGTGACAGTTCTGACTCATAGTGACCCTATGCACAACAGAACAAAACACTGCTCAGTCCTGTGTCATCCTCAAAATCGTTGTTATGCCTGAGCCCCTTGCTACTGCAACTGTGCCAATCCTCTCATTGGGGTTGTTTCTCGCCTTCTCTTTCTCTGACCCTTCACTTTATGAAGCATGATGTCCTTCTTCAAGGACTAGTCCCTCTTGATAACATGTCTGAAGTATGAGAGATGAACTATGACCATCCTGGCTTCTCAGGAACATTTTGGCGGTACCTCTTCCATCCCAGATTTCTTTGTTCTTCTGGCAGTCCATGGTGCTCTTAATATTCTCCTTCAACACCATAACTCAAATGCATCAATTATTTTATGGTCTTCCTTATTCATTGTTCAACTCTCACATGCATAAGAGGCAATTGAAAATACCAAGGCTTGGATAAGGTGAACCTTAGTCCTCAGAATGATATCTTTGCTCTTGAACTCTTTCAAGAGGTCTTGTGCACCAGACTTGCCTAATGTAATATGATTTCTTAACTGCGGTTTCCATGAGTGTTAATGGTGGACCCAAGTAAAATGAAGTTTAACAACTTCAATCTTGTCTCCATTTATCATGATGTTAAACAACATAAACAGCTATACACATGGACCCCAAGAATGAAATATACAAGAATCAAACTGACTACTTCTGTGGGAAGAGATGGGGGCAAAGCTCAATATAAACAGCCAAAACAAGACCAGGGTCAGACTGAAATGGACCATCAATTGCTCAAATGAAAATTTTTAATTCAGGCTGAAGCTGAAAGAAATTGAAACATATTCAAGAGAGCCAAAATATGACCTTCAACATATCCCACCTGAATTTAGAGATCACCTTTAAAACAGATTTCATGCATTAGACACTAATGGCCGAAGACAAAAAGAACTATAGGATGACATAAAAAATATGAGACAGGAAGAAAGCAAAAGGTCCAAAACCAAACCTCTTGGCATTAAGTAAACTCACAAAAGGTCATTTATAAATTAGGAAAAAGGAAGACATCAAAATGGATGTCAGAAGAGACTCTGAA